CCTATTTCGCATTTTGTCTCAAAGTGTTTTGTCTCAAAGTGAAAAGCCACTCATTCACCTAATTATTCTCATCTCGGCAACACTTAACTTAGTTTTACGCTTCTCCTAAAGGCCAACATTCAGCGCCATAGAGCATTGCAAGTCTCACCACCATCTTATAAAATTTTCCTTCGGTCTAATCGATATTTTTTCTATCACACAATAGGTCCAAAGCATTCCTACACTTCAACCAACCAACTTGAATTCTACTAATAACATCCTCATCTATATCACCATCACTTTGAACAATAGACCCGAAATATCTAAAGTGTTCACACCTTTTAATAATTTGTTCACTCATAGTTACAATTCTGTCACTGGAGCTACTATTACTAAATTTACATTCCATCTATTCAGTTTTAGTTTTACTCAAATGAAGGCCTTTAGACTCCAATGTAGACCTCCATAAGTCAAGTTTTTTCTGAGCTTTCTCGTCTTATCTACAAGAAGGATATCATCAACAAAAAGTATACACCAAGGTACATCCTCCTGTAAATGTCCAATAAGAGAATTCATAAATAAAGCAAAAAAGATATGGGCTTAAAGACAATCCCTGACGTAATCCAATAGAAATACGAAAATATTTGGTCAATCCTCCTTCTGTTTGAATACAAATAACAGCTCTAGTATACATATCTTTAATGACTTGAATATAAGTCATATTAATATCTTTCTTCTCAAGAACTCTCCAAAAGATATCTCTTGGAGCCTTATCGCAAGCTTTTCTAAATCAATAAAAATCATATGTAGATCCTCTTTATTACTTCTGAACTTCTCCATCAAACCTTTCAATAAATCCAAATTGATTATGAGAAATCATTGTAATACCGTCTTAACTTATGTTCAATTACCCTCTCCTATAATTTTAAAGTATGACACATCAACTTAATTCCTCTATAATTTGCACACTTTTGTGCATACACTTTATTCTTAAAAATGGAGATCATAATACTCTTTCTTCACTCCTCAACTCCCAAATCTCATATATATTTCCACACTTAATTGGGATATCATTAGGTCCTACAGACTTTCCACCTACAGACTTTCCACCACTACAGACTTTCCACCATTGGTTTTCTTTAAAGTCTTTTCAACTTCTTTTTTACTAATGCGACGGTAAAAATGAAAAATTTTATTATTATTAACGATATTAAGATCACCAAGGTCAATTGAATTTTCAAAAATTTTATTAAAAAGTGTATCAAAATAACTCACCTATCTGTGTTGAATATCTTTTCCTAAGAAAAGCACTTTTTAATTTTCATCTTTATACACTTTGAGTTAAATCTTTACTTTTCTTCCCTCTTTCTTTTGTTAGTTTGTACATATATTTTTCACCTTCCTTAGTATCTAATCTATTGAAAAAGAATTGTTCTCTTTGACTACCTACGGGCCATATATTTTTCACCTTCCTTAGTATCTAATCTATTAAAAAAGAATTGTTCTCTTTGACTACCTATGGGCCATTTTATATTTTTTCAAGTTCTCTAAGCTTTTACATTTAAACCAATTTTTATAACATAACTTTTCATATTTTATCTTTTCTTGCACATAATTATTTCACCACAAACTAATTTTATTTATAAAAAATTTCTCTCTTGATTCTCTAAGTACCAGTTTTGTCACTTGTTTAATAGTGTTTGTTATTTTATCCCACATAGAATTTGTTTTTTCATTACTTTATCCCACATAGAATTTGTTTTTTCATGAACATCCCAAATCTTGAGATCTTGAATTTTACTCATAAAAATAATTTTATTTGTGTCTTTCAGGTACCCCATCTAATTCTACGATAATGATTCTTAGTATTCTTCATTATACAATTCTTTATCTTAAAATTTAGAACTAATAATCGACGTTGAGTACTTAAATCCTCACTTAGATGACCTTACAATCTTTACATCCTCGATGATCTCTTGTTCTCATAATAAAATAATCAGTTTGTGTTTTATTAGATCCACTCTTATAAGTAAAAATATGCTCATCTTTTTTCTTGAATAAAGTATCAGCAATAACCAAATCATACTCTAAAACAAAATCTAATATAGCTGTACCTTCTTCATTAATCACTTCAAAACCATAGCCACCATGAATATTTCTAAAATCTTCTATCACTCTACCGACATGTTCATTTAAATCCCCTCCAATAAAAATGACACATTTAAATCTCATCTCCTCAAATAATTATATGTTTAATGAGCAAGAAAATTGAAGGGCGAGCCATAATACATCTCGTACAATAAATCATGTTTGTACTTCAAAAGTGTTTCATCTAAAATTCAATGCAAATTTTTTAATGCTTAACAATTTAGAGCAAAGCATCCCCAAACGTATTTCTAATTTATCCTCTGCTATCAATTAAGTTCCCACCAAACGTCAATAAATTGCTCCGTCAGTCTATTAGGATCATAGGAAACCGTAAATACTTTACACTTACAGAAGCAAAACCATACTTACAAGATTGTTGAAAAAGTTGCAAAAATATTTCGAATATGCACTACATGTGAGAAGCAAAGCATCCCAAAACATGATTCTGATTTATCCTCAGCTATCAATAAAGTTTCAACCAAACATGATAGATTGCTTCCTCGGTCAATTAGGATCACAGAAAAGAGTAAATACTTTACACTTTACAGAAGTAAAACCATATTTGCAAGATTGTGCAAAAAGTTTCAAAATATTTTAAATATGTACTACATGTGAGAAGGTATGCTTCTTTCAATTGGTAAAAAATGGCTTCAATCAATAAAACAGACTAGGACAAGTCATAAATGCTTTTATATGGTCCTTGTGAATTCTTCTAAAAAATCGGCCATGTCTTAAATTGATTAGAGTAAGAAACACAGTAAAAATCCCCATCTACATGAGCACCCCCTTCCTCAACTTCATGGTGATGGAAAAAGAACTCATGGAGTAGGTCGCATGGTAAATGCGTATCATATATTTGTATTATACACATACGTACTAATTATTCGATGGGTGAAAAAAATATAACTTTCTTATCATTATCTTTTAAAAGGTGGGAAAAAATGAACAAATTTTAACTTAAACGTAATGCAAGTATTTTAATATACTGTGATATTCATATTTTATGAGAATGTTCCTTTATGTCTCAATCTGATATGTCAAAAAATTAAAATAATTTAAATTATAATTAAATATTTTATATTTTAATTCTGAATTCTAAAACAAATTCATACTCAAACAATATAATTACCATATTTTACGATGATTGGTATTGTCCATCTATGTGAAGAATATGGGTGGCTTTATTTCAAGATGGCAGGCAGCAGCATTACAAGTAAAGCCTAAACTGAACAATACATTCATGTATAAATACTTCAGATTGGGCATCCATAATAACATATGCTTAACAGTTCTCAAAAGGGTAAGAAAAACAGTCAAATCAAAATGTCACTTTTATGCTCATATAGCCCTATTTTGCAGAAGAAATTAGACTAAAGATCTGAAAGCAGACAAAATAATGAATATTGAATTCAACATTACCGAAATAGTTCATGTATTTTGGTACAAGTTTGGAATTGGTGTCAACCTATCATCAACTCTCATTCTTCGGCTTAGGATTGTCCACTCTCTATGACATTCTTAATTTTGATACAGACATGAGGAGTGGCATATACTCTATTAACAACTATGTTACAAACTTTGAAAAAAAAATCTTTGACCGTATATATTATAGCTACACAAGAAAATAAAAACATAATTATAACTATCATAAATTCTTATTGCAACCCTGAAAAGATGTAAATATATAAAAGAGAATGTTATGCAAGCATGCAACAAGAAAAAAATTAATCAAGAAGGATGGACCTGAGTGTGAGCCAACACACGAACAACAGAAGCATATTTCTTTATCTTTTCAAGTTGAGTTTGGATTTCTTTCTTTCCATCCTCAGATTCATATTTCTTTGAATATTTGGTAAAAGCCTTCTTCTTACTCCTGTACCAATTCTTATAAAACCTCCTCCTGACTTCTTCACTCAAATGCTGAGCCCAAACAGTATTAAGTGAGCGAAGTCCGCGGGGAGTTTTTATATAACCAACAACTCCCACAATGACCATGGGTGGAGTCTCGATGACCGTCACAGCCTCACATGTTTCTTTCTTGTGGAGTTCTGTAAATTTAAAATAAAATTTTTTAAACATGCTAAAATAAGATAATGCTTATTAAATTATAGGTTAATTTGACCGATCTCAAAACTGCATGCGCTTACTTTTAGTAAAGCTCTAAATGTTGAGAAGCGAAGCTTTAATAGACTACTATCCAAAAAATAGATTGCAGCAGAGTTCTTATAATATTGAATATGACTTTCTGAAACAAAAGGGTAAAACATGACGGATTCCACATATCAACTGAGACGATTCAAAATTTAGTCTTCATCAACCCATTAATTCCTCCAGGCAATGAATGCATGCATGTATATATATCTTTTGATCATTTATAATAAAAGAAAAGCTACCCTACAAAATTTTGATCAGTTGAACTGCAAGAGAATAAAATTTAAATGAAAATTAATCATTTTCTAAGTATTTAAATTCATAAATCTTATAAAAAATTAACGGTTAAAGTAGCTGATTAATCCATAATTACCAAGTTTTTAAAAACCGAACTGGTTGATTCAACCGGTTCAATTGTGAACTGGGCATATGGTCGTTCTGGTTACCCGCTTCTGCATTAAACATATGAAAACCAACCTGAACCACCAATTCAACACCAGTCCCCAGTTATACAAAACTGACAGGTTCAAAAATTCAAATTATTTTAATTTCTTTATTTATAGCCATAGATTCAAAAACTTTCAAATTATATTAATATGAACTTTTGTTCACCTAATCCATAACATGCCCATTGCTCTAAGTGCCAAGCTCTCTTTTCCCATTAAAAGAATAAAATGTTAATTCTCTCTTATAAGATGGTACAAAAGAAGCTTTGAATATGTTAAAAACAAAGTTGGGTTGGAAAAAATTAGGCTATGTAAGTTGAGCTTTCAAAGTACTAAATAGGCTACAACAACAAGTCTTTCTCCTGCTAAGTGGGATCAGCTACATGAGTCATTTTTCTCCACTGCATACTATTGAGTGTCATATTTTCATATATTTATAATAGATTAAGATCATTTTTTATACAATATGTCCTAGTCTTTTTTGGTCTACCTCTGCCTTTCTTAACATAAGTCAAATCTAAAACATCTACTCTCCTAACAAGATCATTAGATGGTCGACGTTTAACGTGACCAAACCATCTAAAACGATTGTCTCTAATCTTGTCTGCCACTGGAGCTGCACCAACCCTATCACGGATATATTCATTTCACATTTTGTCTCTCTCTAAGTGTCAAGCCACTCATCCACCTAAGCATTCTCATCTCAGCAACACTTAACTTTGTTTTATGCTACTGTTTTAAAGGTCAAAATTCTGCACCATAGAGCATTGCAGGTCTCACCACCAACTTATAAAAATTTTCTTTCAGTCTAAGCGGTACTTTTCTATCACATAATAGGCCTGATGCATTCCTCCACTTCAACCAATTTGAAATCTACTAATAACATCTCTATCTATATCACCATCAGATTGAATAATAAACCCGATATATCTAAAACGTTCACACCTTTTAATGATTTGATCACCCATAATTACAACTTTGCCAATAAAACTACTACTACTAAAATTACATTCCATATATTTTAGTTTTAGATCTACTCAAACGAAGGCCATTATACTCTAATGTAGACCTCCATAATTCAAGTTTTTCCTGTAATTTTTCTTTATTCTTACCACAATAAGGATATCATTAACGAATAGCATACTCACCAGCCAAAAACATACACCAAGGTACATCCTCCAATAAATGTCCAGTAAGAACATCCATAACTAAAGCAAAAAAGATATGGACTTAAAGCCAATCCCTGATGTATTCCGACAGAAATAGAAAAATACTTGGTCAATCCTCCTGTTCGAACACAAGTAGCAACTCTAGCATACATATCTTAATGACTTGAATATTAGCATATCAACACTTTTCTTTTCTAGAACTCTCCAAAGAACTTCTCTTGGATCCTTGTTGTACGTTTTCTAAATCAATAAAAATCATATGTAAATCCTCCTTATTCCCTCTGCACTTCTCCATCAAACCTCTCAATAAATGTATGCTTCCACAGTAAACATGGCCGACATAAATCCAAAATAATTATGAAAAATCTTTGTATCACGTCTTAACCTATGTCAATTACCCTCTCCCATAACTTCAAAATATGGAACATCAACTTAATTCCTCGATAATTTACACACTCTTATGTATTTCCTTTATTCTTAAAAAAGAGGGCCACGATAATCTTCCTCCACTCCTCCGACATCTTTTTAGTTTTTAACATAATATTAAAGAGTTGTGAAGTCAAGAAACACCGAAATCTTCTAAATATTTACACACTACAATTAGGATATTATCAGGTCCTACTGATTTTTTACTCTTAATTTTCTTTAAATCCTCCTTAACATATTTATTACTAATACGACGATAAAAATAACATATTTTATTATTATTATTATTAAGATTACTAGGATCGATTGTAACTTTATTGAAAATTTTATCAAAATAGCTTACTCACCTATGTTGAATATCGTCCTTTAAGAAAAACACATTTTGATTTTCATCTATAATCAACTTAACTTGTATTAACTCATTACTTTTCTATTCTCTTTGTTTGGTTAATTTATACATATATTTTTAACCCTCTTTAGTATCTAATCTATTATAAAGATCATTAAAAGCTGATTTTTAGCGTCATGAATTGTTCATTTAGACTCCTTACAAGTCATCTTATATTTTTCACATTCTCTATGCTTTTACATTTAAACTAACTTTTATAACACAACTTCTTATATTTTAACTTTTCTTGCACATTATTATTTCACCACTAACTATTTTTATTAATAAAAACATTTCATTTTGATTCTCCAAGTACATCTTTTGCCACTTGTTTAATCGTGTTTGATATTTTATCCCATATAGAATTCTTCTTTTCATGAACATCTCAATTCTTGAAATCATGAAGCTTCCTTTTAAAGATAATTTTATTCATGTCTTATATGTGTCCCACTCTAATTTTATAACAATATTTCCTTGAATTTTAATCTCACAACTCTCATCTAAAAATTCAAAACTAATAATCAATGTTGAGTAATTAAATTGCACTTGGAATGACTTTACAAACTTTACACTCTTGACGATCTCTTTTTCTCATAAGAAAATAATCAATTTATATCTATTAGATCCATTTATATAAATAATAATATACCCATCTCATTTCTTAAAAAAAGCATTAAATAGGCTATGGGGAAAAAAGTAACAGCATTTTAAAAACTTTTTTATAATAAAAACTTCATATTCTTATCAACTATTATAAACCAAATTTTATTACAAATTACATTCTTATTATAAATTATAAACATATTTAACATACCAGTTGAGATATAATTTATTAAAAATATATAATTAATATATATTAAATATATTTAAATTTTTTTTAAAATTATAGCATTGATATTTAAATTTGTATTACAAATTATATTCATGTTATATGGTAGCAATATTTTAATTTTAAAACATTCATAATAAACACTTCATATTCTTATTAACTATTATAAACCATATTTTATTACAAATTATATTCTTATTAAAAATTATAGACATATTAACATACTATTTGAGATATAATATATAAAAATATATAATTAATGTGTACTAAAAATATTTAAAATTTTTAAAAATTATAGCTTTGATATTTAAATTTATATTACAAACTATATTCAATTTATATAGTAACAACATTTTAATTTTAAAACTTCCCTATAATAAACACTTCATATTCTTATTAACTATTATAAACCATATTTTATTACAAATTATATCCTTATTAAAAATTATAAGCATAATTAGCATACTAGTTGAAATATAATTTATAAAAAGTATAATTAATGTGCATTAAACATATTTAATTTTTTTAACAAAATATAATGCTGATATTTAATTTATATTACAAATCATATTCAGATTATAGATTTTAATTATTATGAATTATATTTATATATCATATCATAATTTTTTTTTTATTTGTAAATATATTTCAGATACATATATCTTAATTTATAATATACATATAATTCTATCTTAATGAATCCTATATAAAGTTTCATTCATCTTTATCATATATTTATATTATTACATTATTTAAATCATATTAATAGAAATTAAATATTTATTACATCATGCAGTTAAATCTCCGATTCAACCATTGAACCTGAATCTCTTACTCTTCTAACTCAATGGCAAGTCCAGTAGTTACAACCTTAACAATTACAACTCCCAATTAGAACACAAGCATTGGCAGGGCCATGAATGAATCTCATTGTTTGTTTATGATCGTGTTCAGCTCGATAATTACCACAAAATGAACTATTGTTAATTATGTATGCTTAACAAGTGAAACATGAACAATACCTTCTTTGAGCAAAGTATTCTAGGTGGTAGTTTAATTATGCTTATATATATATATAGATAAAAATATGCCTATATATGTACATATTGGGTAAATTCATATGCATGCATTTATATTTGTATGGACTTTCAGGTTTATTTTCACAAAAAACTTATATTTGATACAGTAAATCAATGATCAGGATACAAACAAAAAAATCGGCATGTTTCCTTAATAAGCTGAGCTGCACCACCTGAGCTTGCCCATGTTTGGCTCACTTACGTCCCCTTAATGATTGGCCATTGAAAAACTACGCATTGCATTAATATTTTATGGAAAAAAAAAGAAAGATAAATTGATTAACATAAAGCTTTGAAGCATACTTGATCCTGGCTTCTCCACCTCGCGGACAATGTGAGTCATACCAGCCTTATAAGCAAGAAAAGCGGTAAGCTTGCAAGGTTTTGTCGGGTCATCTCTTGGGAATGACTTCACTGCATGAAGAATGTAACAGTACATAAATCATAATACATAAGAAATTGAGCACAATGTTTCTGGGATTTAAGTGATAGAAGCAATGTGCGTTTATTAGCAATACCGATCAAATTGGTAACAGTAAAATCGATTATATAAGTTGTAGTGGTGTATGGCCAAATAAGGAAATAAAAGCTAAGCACAACACATTCTCATCCAAATTTAGCTCGGGGTATAAGATATGTCCATGAACTACAAGATAGCATTTGAAATTTTACAAAATAATGTTTTAAAAATCAGAAAAAATGATTACTAATAACCCTTGATTGTTGCCTTATTGCCATTCAAGAAAACATTTCTTATATCTTATCTAAATTTCAAGTATACTCTCCCCAACAATTGCTGTAGGTAAACTTCAAGGTTCGATAAAATATTCAGCTACGGTAAAAGTGGAAAATGATTCAAACACTGCAGGTACAGAGCAACATTAATCCAGAGCGAACAATACACGATCCAGCTGAAATCCATTAACAGATCAACAACTATATATCCTAAGACTAAAACAGAAAAAACATGAGGAAATCACAGATTAACACCAATAAAAGTTAACCAAAGAAAGCACCGCAATGAAGGCAAACTTAAATTATAGGCCTTACAAAAGAAAAATTCCCAATAGAAAAAAAACCTTTCCCACGGTGACGAGAAGAACGTTTTCTTGGAAGAAATCCAAGAGACCCGTGCCTGGGGTGCTCAAACTTCCTATGAGACATATTTCTACTCAACCTGCACAGTATAATTGGAGTTACTAAGAAAATTCTAAAAATTGTAGAATCCTAGCAGCTAATAGAATTGAACAAAAAGATAATAGCAATGTCAGATGTTAAGAAGATCTTAGTCGATGAAGCAAACAGGCGGCATGCGATAAGAAAAAGCAAAAAGCATTTAAGAAACTCAACTAGGTTATTCGTGGTAGCTATCGGATCGGGAGCCGCATGAAAAACAATAAGTTTGGAAAATCCAGCGACAAACCTTAAAAGCCGACGTCCCCCTCGCGGCGTCGGGCTCCTCTCAGCACAACCCTAATGTTCGATTTATATCTATCAGCAGCAAATAAATTCGTTAGATTAGAATACAGAGACGAGCGCAGGGGAGAATCCGTATTGAAGGCCAGTTCTGATCATTAACCATTACATCTGGCTCGACCAATCATCCATTTTTTTCAGATGAGTAATTTTTTTTTTTTAGCATAGCACTAAACCCAACGGCTTGTTATTATTGGTCTTTATTTTCAAATAATATATTACAAGTTCACACAGATTAATAAAATTAATTCATTTAATGTAAGAATTATAACCTTGGTTGGTTGGTTGGTTGGATGAGAGAAATCAAAAGAGTAGGAAAAGAAAAAAAATAGAGCAATTCACAAATAGTACTAATTCTTTGGAAATAGATTTAGTAGACTTTCTTGTTGGAAATGACTCTTTTATTTATAAATCATAGGAAGGATTTAGTAAATTATATAATTTTCTCTACAAATAGTACTAATTCTTTGGAAATAGATTTAGTAGTCTTTCTTGTTGGAAATGACCCTTTTATTTATAGACCACAGGAAGGATTTAGTAAATTACATAATTTTCTCTCGCTTAATGAGAACCTAATCATATATTTATGAGTCTTGTATATTTACATATTTATAACCGACTTCTTCATTTTTGACCCAAGTGGTCGCTAGTGGCGATGTTCTATATTTATAACTGCCCTAACACCGTTTCATATTCATAGTTGCTCGGTTTCTTTCTTTGGATTTTGCTCGGTCGTCTGTAGTCTTTTGGCCGACTATCATATCCTTGGCCGACATTTTCGAGGGGATTCATCGTGAAGACTTATCATCCTCATAAGGGTTATTCTATCAAGCAGAAGTTGTTTCCCCATAATCTTATAGGCAACCTTTATTTGGATGATAAATTTTCATAAAAGGTTTGGTGAGAGTTCTTTGAGTGATCGTCAATCATGTGAATGCCCTTGCATCAATTAAGTTGTCATTGGTCTAGATGTGCGACATTCTTAAGTTTGGATGAACATTCATTCTATCAGCTCATGATTCAGCCAACTAAAATGATGACTCAATTATTTGTTGTCTTCTTTGAGCGATCCGTTGAATCTTTTCAAGATTCGTGTAGTCACATTTCTGATGTACATAGTTAGTTTTATGATTCTCTTATTTCTTTGAAAGTGACAACTGTTGTAAGAATAAGATAATTAAATAAAAAATTTGCTTATGAGTAATAAGTTTTGTTAGTAATTGTATTCCCTAGATTTCCATGCCGCTTTTTCCTATAAATAAACGCAATCAGTGCTCCACTTCCACATTTTCGAAATTATCTTGCCCTTCAGTTGCTTGTAGCAGGAGAGGAGGATGTTGGGTGCTAAAAAGCTTGTGATCGAGGAAACAATTATGAGGGCCTTCGGGGCTTCCAACTTCTATGATTTGCCCTTCAAGGGTTAAAAAGACGAGAAAATAGGAGACTTCCCGGCTAGCTCTGAGGAAGAAAACAACTTAGGAGAGTCGGCGGACTGAGAAGAGGTTGAAAGATGAGAAGCAAACCACTGGCACCAAAGGGTCGGTTGAATGGACCAGGTCAGAGGGGCTCAGTTTGATGAAGTAGGTGGTGTCGAAGAAGCAAAAGGTAGAGGAGATTGTGAAATTCTTCGACTCGTTGCTGCTTTTGAAGATGAGGATTCATACAGGAGTGTGCACCATTGATGCACTCGTATTGGCTCCTGACCCGCTACGTCAACCACAAAACTCAATCTCCACCACCCGAACCAGTCCTTGCATAAGTGGTAGCACAAGCTTTGCCCCTGGAGGGTCCTCTGCCTTAGCATTCGGTTGGTGAGGCAACTCATGTTGATGTTCCCTCGCTTGTTGGGTAGAGCCTCTATATGTCAGATATAGAGAGATTGATCAGTTATTTTTGTTCTTTATTTGATTTTTGTTGTCCCCTCTAATGACCCATTATGGTGATGCAGACGAAATACTAGGGATCGTGGACTACTGACACGAATGGGCCGGCCACTTCCTACTCTGAAAGCGTCTGTTAGACCTTTTGCCCTTCCCTCAATTAAAGCAACGCCCGACCATCCACTGTCTCATGCTAACCTAGATCGAGTGGGGTTGCCAAGAGTCATTGGCGCATCGCATGAACAAGACTGTAGACTTTTTTGCCTGGGTAGCTGACCTTCAAAGGAAAACTGTCATATCAAATTTGTGTGGAGATATTCGTCCTCCATGCGGATATGGAGACCCTTCTGGCCGAAGTGCTGAGTCTTCGGGGTGAGCTGAGGGAGGTCCAGACAGAGGTCTGGGCTGCTGGCTCAATCATCTATGTATCAGGCGAAAGAGGAGAGGATAAAAAAATTCAAGTTTGGTGGGTGCGCGTTTTACGCGAGCTTAGTGATTTGGAGTCTAGTCTCAGCCGAGGTGACTAACATCCCAGCTATAAAATATTTGTTATCATAAATAAAATTCTTATTATTTTGTGAAATTTAAAAAAAAATAATTATTTTGTATTGTTGAATGTCACAGTGATTTGAGTGTATTTTAAAGGTTGATGTATGGATGTGAGATGTTTCGAATCCATTATGCACCCTACATATAGAGTTAAGCAGAAACTCAGTGAATACTTTTCACTTTCGCCTCCCTTGGGTCGGCTTTTCTTAGAGCATCATGGCCTCCAAGTATTCTCGTCAGTTTTTCTTAGGTTCAGTGAGGTCGATCGAGAGATCTATCTTGACAGATTTTAATGTCGAGCTGATGGATGATGCTTGTGTGTGTGACACAATTGTCATGTTGGACCTAGTTGACTTGGAGATCTAAGCTACCGACTATCTAAGGGATGACCTCATTTTCTATCGGAACAGTTCCATTGGGGGCTTTGGCTGCCTTTTTGTACAGTGCTTAGGTCGATCTTCAACTACTATAGAGTGATCCCAGCCCTGATCAAACCAAACTCAATTGGCATCATTTATTTTGATTTTACTAGTGTAAGGTGTCTAACTACATGGATCAAGACACCCACTCAGGACCTTCTGACACTTGTTCGGGGCAAGTAGCCAGGGTTGGCAGCGATTCCACCCTACCCTAAAAAATTCTCTTGGGGAGGCCCATTTTGGGATGTGAGGCATGTTTGGTGCCTAATTTAATGATTAGAAGTCACCACAAATCCATCTAAAACCTCCCATGACCATAGGAAGTCAGAGAGTCCACCTACGTGTGCTACGAAAATATTAGAGTTTAGGGCACCCTACACGTGTCGCGGCTCAAGACGACCGTTGACACTGACTTATCAAGTGAATGACCAACCAAAATACTCCATTTTGAATTTATGGGACTATATTTCACTCACATAAAGTCTCCCATAACTTCTGGATTCAAACAAATCTTCTGTCGGGCATTCCTAGCGAAAATTTGGGTTTCGGGCAAGACTTGCACCCCGGGGTCATCCATGGGGGCTCACGCACACAAAATACCTTTCCAGACCATCGAGCTCAAACATTCATAGATCTAAGACATGATTTAAAAATTTGGCACAGAACCGGTGCCTAAGCTCTGAAGAAACTGGGCGCCAAGGCCCCATATAGGCAAAAAATTGGGACTTCCCTTAGAGCTTAGTGTCTAGGCGTCACATGTCATGTGCCATGACCCTAGAATCAACATGTTGAGGCCATGACACCTGAAAAATGAGTTCCTAGGAGCCACTCTGCATCCAGGTCATGAAAATGACCAATTTTGACGTCGTTTTGACACCGTTTCGCGCCGAATAGCCTCGGGACCTTACAAGTGGGTGGCTAATCTCCATTTTTAACCTCATCTAGAAGGATCCAATGCCTCTTTTGGGGGGTATTTTGGAGACCTTTGTTCATAATCTCCATTTTTCCCTCATCCCATTTCGTTTAGCTGCAATTTTGCTCGAGATAGGACTTCGGTCGTCCCACTCTCCACCTCCTTCTTCCTCTTCGACCAGGCCATGAGGACTTCGGTCGTCCCACTCTCCACCTCCTTCTTCTTCCTCTTCGACCAGGCCATAAGGGAATTGAAAGAAAGCTCATGGGGATGAGCTTTCGGAGGCTTGGGAGGTTCTTTGGAGGAGATTCTTTGAGAGAGAGCAAGGAAGAGGGGCTTCTTCCCTTCTTCATCTTCTTCTTCTTCCTCCTTCCCCCCATTTCTTCCTCCTCACCTTCTTCTTCATCCTCTACATTTTGTGAGGATGTGAGAGGGAATTCTTGAGGAAAAGCTTGAGAGCGAGGTGTCTACTCTCTTATACTAGAGGAGAGCATCATCCTAGCTCACTGGATGATTGTCGAGGGTTTCCAGAGCCTGCTTGAACGTGGGCTTCTCTCTTACTGATAAAAGAGCTTCTTACTACATGAAGACACGTGTCCAAAACCATCATAGTAGTGAGACTTCCCTAACTTTTAGCGGACTCTAGGATTAGTCCAGCCTAGGCACGTGGGTTCCATCTTTCATGCAGGGTGGATGTGCCGCTCCGTCTGTGTGATGGATCATTGATTTCTCTAGAAAAAGCCATAGGTTAGGATCACCATGCGTTGGCCAAATCCTGTACGGAGCCAAGTGATTCTCCATCTTAATTCTACCAAGTCGGATTCCAATTTGCCACGGCTTTGGCGCCCTCCACTTTTCTTAGAGAATTTGGTTGAGTTCAATCTTAGAGGATGGAAAAGGCTTTGTAGCTAGTTTATCCTGTAAGATCGTAGGCATTCATAGAGCAGAAAAAAAAAAGCTTTGTAGCTATTCTGCCCTATGAACGGTGGAGATTTTCCCCTATAAGAAATAAGAGGGGAAGCCGTTCACATTATGATGTCAAAGCTGGAGGCGGCTATGCCTCAAATCTAAGTGTGTTAATTCTAAGTACCTATGTGAGGTCATTAGGATGAGGTTGGTGTGCTATCGACTGTATTGGATTTCATTGCTTATGCATGTCCATTCGTGGCATCTTTGGTGTGTGAATCATATTTCATGTGGTATGCATGATCGTTTGAGCACCTTAGGTCGATTGACCGTCCTGGACCGATCCCTGATCGTTCGATCGACCATCCTAGGCTGATCACCCTATCTTTCGGGTTTCATTGATCACTACGTGTCTGTTGACCTCACTTTTGGTTGAGGTTTAGTTTTCCCTCTTTAGTAGCCTAAGGTCTAGCCATAGGACTTTCATGTTGACTATTCATAGAA